TCCACTCACTCATTAGCGTCCAGTACATGGCATCCTTTTTCAGGTACTTGAGCTCCTTTTCGCGAGCCGCTTGAATTTTTCTGAGAAAAACCTCATCCCAGGCATTCAGCTTGATTATCTTAATGCCTATCAAGGTGTCATGGATTTTCTTTAATCGTTCATCCGTGAATTTCTGTGGAAAATGTGTGGTTAAATGACAATTAATATAAACTCTTAGCTTATAGAGGCAACCGGATGGAGCTCAGAAAGGAAGGAACGAATGAGCGAACAAAACGATGGTCAGACGGATGGAGATACGGGCAGAAGGACAGACAGATGGACAGCCAGTCGGACGGACAGCGATAGATGAACGGAATGAGTTTATCAAACGAATGAATAGATTGACAAGCAGAACATATAAAAACAGTTAGCTCGACTCAGCTCGTTATCCCAATCCAAAATATATAAATACATACAAACACCTGTTACACACATATTACGCAAAATAATTATAACCGGATTGAGGTTGTAAAAAGCCAGACGGTGGCTTAGAAATGTCCAGAATTAGATTGGCCACAAATAATTGTCGAAAGTCCGAGCAAAAGCCAAAATTCAATTAACTGAAACTGACCAACTGACAATTACTTTAAATTGACCGCAAATCTGTTAACAAGCAACTCTTAAATGAGCCATTGGCGGCAGTCAGTCGGTCAGAGTTCGAGTTCGAGCTCGAGTTGGAGTCGGAGTTCGAGTTCTAGTTCAAGGCCCACAAGCACAACACAAATTTCGAGCTGCAAATGACAAAATGATAGCAGGCAAATGGCAAACAAACGAATTGTGAGGCTCTTGTTGTGTCTCAAGTGTTTTGTGGCTTCAACTGGCGCAGCCTGAAGTTAATTTTGTTCATTGTTGCTCGCTCTCTAATTAAATTGTGCTTTTGTCGCCTTAGACTATTGCATTGCATTGCATTGCCAACTTCGTGCTTCCACTTACCGCAATCCTTTCCTCGTTCCTCGACATGGCCCGGCCGATGACGAACTGCAACGGTGTCATAATGACAATGCACACAATGGCGCCAATCACCGCACTTATGCCCAGCTTTAGGTACAGCAAGTAGATGACCAGGGCTATCTGCAAACAAGATGTGTTCGATATGAATTTATTTGCTAATTCAGACACGAGTTTATTTGCTTATGCAAATTGTGCTGGCACGGCAATATTGTCTACGCATCAGATAATTATGATGTGACTGCGTAATTTACCCAATCAGAC